GAGCCGAAGGCAGTCGCTTAACTGACTGAGCCACCCAGGCGCCCCCGTCATTCCTTCTGATAGGAAACCTTGCCAAAGATCTTTATTTTGGTTTAGGCTCAGATTTAAGGAACAGCGCGCTTTGGAAGATTTAAGTACATCAGCCCAGGGGTTACCACCTCTCAACTAATATTTATGGTTTGGTATGTTTCTGTATTGGTTATATTCACATATGTTGTCTGTAAAATTCCCCGAAGCCGTGGTTTTTAACCAGGGGTGATTTTGCCCCCTAGGCGACTTCAGGCACCGTCTAAAGACATTCTTCATTGCCATTTTACTAGCGCTCTCTGGGGGCGGGGGTAGTGTTGCCGGCATCTAGTGGGTGAGGCCAGGCATGCTGCTCAGCATCCTACAGTGAGTGCACAGAACAAAACCTCTCCTGCACAAAGACCCAACCCCTGATGTCAACAGTAACAAGACAGAGAAATCTTGCTCCAAAGGCTACTGAATGTCCCCCCAACAAGTGTACCTAGAACCTGCAAAGTACACATCTGAAAGTAATCACACTTGGACCCGAGCCATCTGTCAAGCAATCGTACCTGGGTGGCGGTGGAACGGGTCTTTGAACACTAAAGCAGAGCCCATGGGCTTGGTTGGGTCCATGATACGGATCCTGTCCCAGGATGACAACCTTCACCTGTGAATACCAGGTGCCAAGAAATTAAATACTGTCGCACGAGCAGGTTAAACAAACACCTGGCTGATAACCTGTACAAAGGACCACGATGATGAGAAAGGCAGCCCCCCTCTCCCCGACCCAAACTAAGAACCCCCAGAAGGCAGTGGGTGACTGAGCCCCATTACTTTCCACTGTCAAATTATCCTTCACTCCATCACCTGCTACACAGCCCTGCTCCTTCTCTGATGCAGGTGTGTGAAAATAAGTCCACCTCCTTCATTTTTCAGATTACAAAAATATGCCCTTGCCCAAGTACAACCATCCAGAAACACACAAAGTGGCTCGTTGTCTCCACTCATCCCTATCCCCTTCCTGATTCAACCCTGTAAAATTACCTATATAACGGGTGATGGTACTCATGACCCTACATTTTTGTAGTTCTCACATCATGCATTTTAGGCATCCTTCAATGCCCAGAGTGCTCAGTCACTGACAGCTAGTTGGCTTATTTCCTAGTTTTTTCCATCACAAAAAAACAATTCTATAAACACTCTAGTATGTATTATCTTTACATCCTGTTGTTTTTATTTCCATGGAACAGACTCAAAATAGGAGGTGCTGGTCCAAGGACAAGTGTATTTTAAATTTTCATAGACATGTACCAAATTGCTTTTTCAATGAGTTGAAGCTACTCAAATTCCCTACCAGCCACATAGGAAGATGCCTCTTCCCCCCATATCCTCTGAGGGATGAAACCAGAAGAGAATGAGGTCAAAGGGCCACGGAGAAGGTGGCAACATGCAATGAAAGTAATGAGATCAAGGTCACGGGCGGTTTTAAGATACAGCTAGTCCTTCTGATCTGCTGCCTGCCCACCTCTTCTTCCTTCTCAGAATCCTCCCGTAGCCAACATATACTATATTCTTCAAAACCCAACCTTCAGACATCAGGAACCTTTTGTGGACCTCCCTGTTGCTACCACTGATGCTCACTCTGAACGCAGGAGATTCTCCCTCATGAAGCAGCCTGTCCCAGCAGGGCAGCTCTTGGGTTCTCATGCTGGATAAGGGATGACCTTGAAGGAGCCACTCCACCTCCCCAACCTTCCTTCCACCTGCTTCTCTGTGAAGAGGCCTCGCTGGGCCATCTGATCCTCAGCACTTTCACGCTCTCCTATTCCTCTCTGTTGACACTGGTGATTGGTATTCAAAACAGGACCCACAGCTCAAACAAGGCACAAACTAGTACCGAATTTAAAAGGACTTAAGTTTCTTTAACTTTATAAAACCAAGAGCTATATTCAAAGCTCTTGCTTCAAAGTGAAAAATGGTGAAGTCTGCAAAGTATTAAGTGTGGCAGCTTTATCCACAAGGGTCATTCACCTATTTCACTTCTATTTGGTGTAACAGACATAGCACAGGATCACAGGATTCCTGCCCTCGTCTTACAACATGAGGGAGGGAAAAGGAGAAGAATAGAATATGAGATCTCCAGCATAAGCAGAAACCAAAGGTACTGGACAGGAAAACCAGATCAGAAAGGTAGTGGGCAACACGCCTCAAGGGAGGTGCCGTAGATAGATCTAGTTGGCTTTTCAACAGGCAGAAGACTGTCACACTATCCAGCTGTGAAGGAGGAGAGTTGGGGGTGGAGGGAAGGCCGGAAAGTCTAACTGGCTATTTTCATGTTCGGCTTCTATGGTTCATAGAGTGAGTGTAAAGCCATAAACAAGTTTCTGAGCAGGAGACTGAAGTGACCAGACCAACCAGCAGCCGGTATATAGAATGAACCAGTGCAAAGAAATGCTAACAGGATAGTAAAATTGTTTGGGCCAGAAGTCAAGAGCTTGAAAGCATCAACTATAAAAGACAGAAATAGGGAGCTGCAAGTTAAGGTGAGGGGTGGACTAACCAGTTGCAAAAGACCTCAGTGCTTCATGCCTGTTTCCTCAACATCACCACAAAAAGACCTAACGTTGGTATGCCGTTGGTTTCAGGGATTAAATAAAATACAAAAAACTAGAGTATATAGACACGGGTCTATGTACAGATATTTTCTTTTTTGCTACACTGACAGCACATGCTTCAAGTTAGAAAGATAACAGGCTAAAACATAGCCAGCCAAACTTCACAATTTCATTATTTTATTTATTACTCCACCACGGACAGGCACTTGCCTGCAGCGTCGGTAACTAACAAGTACATTATGACTCCCATACCTCTTTTTACTAAAACTCACCACCAACCTGTACTTACATGTCTTATGTCACACATCTGGGTCCACGTGAAGACTTGGTGTGGAGGTGGATAAACAGTGTAATGTTTTCTTTCTTCCGCGACAAATCCCATTAGCTGACGTAAAGACAAATCAGATTTCAAATCAGATTCTCACCGCCAAGTGTTAAGAATCCAGTAAGGAAGCTTCCAGTGGAAGCTAACAGGAGCATTATCTCGCTCTCCGCCACGTTTTACATCCAAATTCTCTCGAGAAACAAAAACTTGACTTGCAGGTCACCAAAGATGTCCCTCCGCTTCGGTGCCCTGCCCCTTTGTTTGGACCGGGTCTACGTTGATTGGTCTCGCTGCTTTCACTTCCTATTAGGTGACAGGCCCTCCCTCTTTTTGTAAAGGCTGCACCAGGTTTCAAGCAGTCTGGTTTGCGGTTTTACTGTGCCGCCCTTTCCTGGAGAGCAGACCCGCTGAATGGTTTACAAAAAGCCATGCCATCTTACAGTCTTTTAAAAACTTCAATAAAGCGTACGAACGCCAAACACCGTGGCTGTTATTTTACCTAACTCTTACCGGGAAAAGGACTTAAGAGAGGGAATACAGGAGCCTACAAACGTGGACTCTCCGCAAGCTATCCTAGCAGGACCGAAGGGCCCGCAGCCTCCAGGTTTACCTTGATGAAATACGGTTTCCCGAACTCCGCGCTGAGAGGCTTCTTCCAACTCTCACCGAAACCCACCGGCACGTTGCGCGCCGCGAGTCTGAGCAGGGCGGCGGCCTTGTTTTTCTGGATGCGGATCAACTGCTCAGGGCTCAGCGGCGAGGAGGGCGGCGTGCCGGGGTCCTCCTGCCCGGCCCGGGCCTTCTTGGGGGGGCTGGCCTGCAAGTGGTCCCCGCATAGGCGGGTCATGAGCTGCAGCGGGCCGCGCCCGGGCGCCAGCAGCTGCCGCCCCCAACCCCACGGCCCATTGCGGAGCACGCCCATTCGCGGGGCTGCAGCCTCCACGCGGTAAGTCGCAGCAAAAGCGGACTCTGGGAGTCGGGTCCGGGAAGGAACCGCTGCCCCGGGTTTTGAATTCTAAGTTGCAGCAGGTAGAGGGGCGGTGAGCAAAGCCCGCGACGTCTCCCGTGGCGTTGGCGGGAAGGGAGGCCCTGACCCCGGCGCCCCGCCCCCGGCGTTCCCACGTGGTCTTTTCGCGGTAAAAACCTCCCGGGGTGTGTCCCGCCCCCCTCCCCTCTGATTGGACGGCGGGCCGAGCAGGGAGGCCCCCTCGCCTCTGATTGGCGCCGTGGGCCCCGAGGTCCATCTCCATTGGCTGGCCCCTCAGAATGGCCGCCAACAGGGAACGGCAGAGGCTGTTTTGAACACGTGCAGTCCGCTTTGAACGCAAGGACCCAGCTTACCGAGTTGGTGGCGCGTCCCTGCAACCCCTCGGCCGAGCGGGGCCCGTCGCCCTCCTCCCCGTCCCTTGCCCCCGGTGCCCTGTCCCCGCCGCGCCTCACCGCCGCATCGCCGCTCTCCTCAGCTACCGCCGCCACGCCGGTCCCCGGGTCGGCCGGCTCGGGACTGCGGGCACGTCGCCTCCCGGCGGGGCTCGGGGAGAAGAAGGAGTAGAGGGTCTTCTGGCCGATCATCCCGGAGCCGAGGAGAGCGGACGCGCGCTGCCCGGAGAACCCGCGGTATGCGCCAGCTGCGGCGGTCCGAAATTGGCGCCAAACGGCCCGCGCATGCTCCGTCCGGGGGATGGGCGGGGGGTCGGGGGCGGTGGGGGTCGGCGGGGGTCCTAGTGCGCATGTGCCAGAGGAGCTGCGGGGGACGCCCCTGGGACCAGGTGGGGCTGGAAGCCTCAGGTGGTAGGCGGGTTCCTTGGGTGCGTTAGCTCCTGTGCTTACTCTTTCATTCATTGTACTCAGCCATCACACCCCTGCCTTGGGGCCCGTCCCTCCACCTCTACCGCGGGTGAAAAGGAGAAAAAAGTACCTGCCCCGAGGGGTTGTTGTGGGAGGGAAATTAGCATTAAAACAGCCATTTGTTTTGCTCTCATCCAGTTTCACAACCTATTTTGCTGGCAGTAAACTAGCGCCAAGTGCGGTCCTGCGTTTTGCCTAACCTGTGAGGTCTGAGGGAGACTTTAACTGAGGTCTTGAAGATTAAACTCCAAAGGCTGCATCCTCTTCAAGGCACCCCCGCCACTCCGGTACACCTGCCATTCTTCTTGTTCCCGCGTTCCCTCCCCACATCCAAACCGACAGTGGATCCTCTTGGTTCTATCTAAAAAATAAATCCCAGATTCAACTGCTGCTCTTCATCACCTGGCTACAATCCCTAGCTGCTCTCCTCTTTCTTAGGAAAGTGATCCTTTTGAAATGTAAATTACATCATGGTAATCCCCAGGTAAAAATCCTCCCTTCAGTTTCCAAATTTTAGAATAAACCCCAGCTTCTTACCCTGCTGGCAGAGCTGTCTCCCTCTAACCCAAGCCCTTACTACTGTGAGGTGACTGACATAGCCAGCTTGTCCCTTGTGTGGCCTGTACTCTCTTGCATGCACTGTCCCCCTACCTGGTAAGCTTTGGGTCTCAACTCAGGTCCCTTCCTCTGAAAGGCCTTCTCCTGCCCACCCCCCACCCCCCATTCTAGCTGGTCACGCAGTAGCTTCTGTACTATCTAAAATTATCGTATGCATTCTTTGTTTGTCTCCATCTCCAAAATTTAACCCTGCTGAGGGCAGATGAGGTGGGAAACAAAGGCAGAAGGAAACATAAAATTAAATGTCCTTAGAACCTGCAGCCCGCTGACAAATACTTGAGGCAGGCAGAGTATAATGTTCCTCCTGGAAGCTCCAAACGGTCTTTGTTAATGCCTTCCTTGCTAGAGGGAAAAGCAACCTTAGTTTGACAATGGCAAGGCCACGGGTATCCTGTGAGTCCTCTTTAGCATATGAAAATCCTTTTGGAACTTCCCTTATCTTTACTTCCCAAAGGCTATCTATTGTATGATTTCATTCATAAGAAATTCTGGAAAAGGGGTGCCTGGGTGGCTCAGTAGGTTGTGTCTGCCTTCTGCTGGGGTCGTGATCCTGGAGTCCCTGGGATCGAGCTCCACATCGGGCTCCTTGCTCAGCGGAAAGCCTGCTTCTCCCTCTGCTGCTCCCCCTGCTTGAGCTCTCTCTCTCTGAAATAAATAAAATCTTTTTAAAAAATTCTGGAAAAGACGGAACTATAGGGACAGGAAACTGCTCAGTGGTGGCCAGGGGCTCGGGGGTTAGCATCGGGCGAGGGCGAGTTTCTAACTAAAAGGCTTGGGGGAATTTTGTGGGGTGACAGAACCATTCTTGATCATGATCGTGGTGGTGGTCACACAACTGTGTACTTCTGTCAAAATCTGCACAACCGTGCACTAAGAAGACTCAAAACAAAGGCCCCGAATCCCACGGAGCTTTCATTGCACTGGGGGAGACAGAGAGTCAACAAAAATGAGGAGAAGTAACAGAATCTGACGTTTGTTTGGAGTACGAAAGCATTCCTGGCCCGTCCTGTCATCTAATCCTCACAGTGCTCTCACCGCGGAGGTTTTATAGCCCCCACTGTGCAGGGGAAGCTATTCAAGCCCAGGGACGGTAAGCGACCTGCAAGAACCACACAGCCCGACGGGTGGAGACGAATACAGAAGCCATGGGGTCGTGCTCCCACCGGGTGGCCCACCTCCCCAGGGAGTAAGTGGCTAGGCGGAAAACCTGCAGTGCCTGCAGCGCGCCCAGGAGGCCAACAGGTGGCGCCAGGGAGCCGCTCACCGCACTGTTCCGCCGAGGTGCCTACATTTCCCAGCGGGCCCCCCCCGAAATCCACCCGGAAGTGACGCTGCGGCCCCGGTGTTGGCTCTTTCCCGCCAGCCCCGCCTCCGGTGTTTGCCGGGCTCGGGGCGGCGCGGCCGCTGTCTGCGGTGTCAGAGAGAGCCCCCGCCCCCTGCTCGGTGTCATAATCCTTATTTTCTATCGGAGTTCGGCGTGCGTGTGACCACGTGTAACTGTTTTGGGATCAGATTCTGAATCCTAGCCGTTCGAGGATCACTATACTTACCCAAGGGCATACTGGCGTGGGAGGGCCGGTCAGTAGTTGGGGGGGGGGGCGGGGAAGGAGACCGGGAATCTGCTTCTCTGGGTGACTTTGGGCAAACCCCTTCCCTTGTCCAGGCGTGCCAGGGTGGGCTTTCTTGAAAAGGTCAGGTGCTTGGTGGGTGGAATGCAGGCAGTAGGGGTTTTGCGAGCCAGCCAGCTGACTGTGATACATAGCCAGGTGTGGGGGACCCAGGACATCCTGAGCGACCCTCCCAACTTCAACATCCTCTACTTCCTTTCTAGGACATGGTGTTAAAAGTGGGAACTTGAAAACACCGAGGAGAAGTTCTGTGGGCCCACTTGGCCACCAAGCCAATTTTTGCATCTGGGACAGAGCCTGGGCAATCTCTCTCTGCCCTGCAGCTGGCTCCCAGGCGTGTGCTTTAGGGAGACAGAATGGACAGGTTCCTGGTGAAGGGGGCTTTAGGGGGCCTTTTGGGAAAGAGGGAGCGAGAGGTGAGTGGAGAAGGCCCAGCAGGGCTGAGAGGAGACGAGGAGAGCAGCAGGAAGAGGCCCAGGGCAAAAACCCCAGGGAATGCAGGCCCCCTGGCCGGCCCCAGCTGGCGGCACATCCGAGCCGAGGGCCTGAGCTGTGATTACACAGTCCTATTTGGCAAAGCCGAAGCGGACAAGATTTTCCAGGAGCTGGAGCAAGGAGTGGAGTATTTTACAGGTAAGCCGAGGACTTCGGGGTGTGTGTTGAAGACTTGTTTGACAAAACTAGTGCTCTGTGTTTGGGGAAATCTGAACCGGTGACTTCATTAACTGATTCAACACATACTCTCTGGGCATCTGTGGGCCGAGCACCATATTGGGCGCCTGGGATACAAACTGGAGAAAAGTTTGCCTGCCCACCAGGAGCTGACAGACTTGGGAATGATTTGCCACCTGGCTGCTGATTAGAATCAGCTGGGAAAGGTAAAAAACAAAAGGGATGCTGGGTTCTACCCGAGACCAGCTGAATCGGAGTAGCTGGGGCGGGGTGCAGCCTGAGCAGCAGTGTTTTTAGAAAGCCTCCAGATGACTCTAAAGTGCAGCTGGTCTAGTAGGAGAGACAGCAAATAACCAGGTAATTCCCCCACAGCAGGGGTTCTGAGCATCACCCCGGGGAGGGGGGGGCCTTTGTTGCTTCCGAGAACTGGGATGGCTGGAGCCCACCCCCACGGTGTAGCGGCTGTTTCCAGGGCCTGCTGATGCTGTTGGTCCAGGAGCACACGCTGAGAACAGCTGCAAGGTGGCAGCGCACGTGGAGGCAGAGAGAAGCCCACGGGAGACCCCAGCCCACAGCCTTAACTGCGTTGGCTTCATCTCTCTTGGGGGCCCCACACCCTTAGTCCCCATAGTTGGCAGAATCACCCTAGCGTGTAGCCTGACTTCAGCTTGCTTGCATTTCAGCCTCTTATTATGCTTCTACTGGAGTTAAGGCTTAAAATTAAAGCATAGTGTTAAAAAAAAAAAAAAGAAAATTGGACGAGAGCGTGTTTCTCTAAGTGTAGGACAAGAACCACTGTTCTTACGTGAACATTTTGGGCAAGCCACAGTGATTTCTGTCCCTGGTCAGGAAGTGAAATGTTACTCCTGTTTCAGTTTCCTTACGATCCTGAATCCTCAGGGAGCAAGCGTGTGGGCTACTCGCCTGCCTGCTCTTCTGAGCTGCCGTGTTTTATCTGCGCAGGTGCGCTGGCCAGGATCCAGGTGTTCGGGAAGTGGCACAGTGTGCCCAGGAAGCAAGCGACCTATGGCAACGCGGGGCTGACCTACACGTTCTCGGGCCTCACTCTGTCTCCAAAGCCCTGGATCCCAGTTCTAGAGCACGTCCGGGATCGTGTTTCTATGGTGACAGGAGAGACTTTCAACTTTGTGCTTGTCAACAGGTGACACTCTACCTGGTTTTTTCCTTTTCCTTTTTAGGCTATTGGACTGAATTGTATAAATCTGCTTCTTCTGAAGGCGGGAGTTTAGGATTCTATCATTTTTTTTTTAAATTTAAATTCAATTAGCCAACATAGAGTATTAAGTACATCCTTAGTTGCAGATGTAGGGTTCAGTGATTCATCAGTTGCATATAACACCCAGGGCTCATCACATCATGTGCCCCCCTTAATGCCCATCACCCGGTTACCCCATCCCCCCACCCACCCCCCCTCCAGCCCTCAGTTTGTTCCCTAAAGATAAGATCCACCATATTTTATTCATTTGTACAACAAATCCCTTAGTGCAGCAGGGATGTGGCCAGGAGAGCATCAGCAGTTGGTCCTTGTGGAGGCCACGCCACAGCGGAAGTGAGTGGTGATTCTCTCATGAACAAACCGTTGAACAAGCTCATTTCAGACGCTGATAAGTGTCTTAAAGAAAATTAAACAGGCTGATATTGCTAAGAATGGCCAGGAAGAAGGGGTCTGAGTTGAGAGCAGGGTTTCGCACCAGCAACACTCTGACATTTTGGGCTGGATACTTCTTCTGTTGTCGGGGCTGCCCTGTGCTTTGCAGGATGTGAGCAGCCTCCCTGGCTTCCACCCCCTGGATGCCAGGAGCATCCCCTCCCCAGTCACAGCAACCAGAATGTCTCCAGACCCTGCCGAGCGTCCCTTGGGGGGACAGAACTGCCCTGCTTACCAACCCTGAGTTTAGGGGAAGGTGGTTAGCAGAGGGCTCCCAGAGGTGCTGAGAGGACATGGAATGAGGGAGCAAGCCACACAGACATCCTGAGGAAGAGCAGAGGGGGCTTGGAGTGTGTAAGGAGCGGAAATCCCACTGATAACTGCTGGAGCAGCAAATGAGGGGAGGAAGAGAGGGCTGTTATGAGCTCAGAGACGGGCAGGGGCCAAACTGGCAAGGAGTCAGGGTTTTTTATTCTAAGTAGGGGAGAAACCATTTGAAGGTTTACATACATGAACCGGGAAAACCCCAAGACGAGTTTTTGGCTGCTTTTGGTGAGTTACATTTTAAAGCACATGATTAAACAGGACAAGATCGAGTGGAAGTGCTTCAGGCTTGGCTCATCTGTGGACCCAGATGAGGCCCTCCAGCCCCCACAGACCCACAGCAGGGGCTGCTCCTGGCACCTGTCACGTTGGGGGAAAATGAGGATTCTGCCCTGTCGGTGGGTCCCAGGAGAGGGCTGTTTTGTAAACTGGGCTTGTGTTCTCACTGCAGGTATAAAGACGGCTGTGACCACATCGGTGAGCACCGAGATGATGAACGAGAACTGGCTCCCAGGAGCCCCATAGCTTCTGTCTCCTTTGGGGCCTGCAGAGACTTCTTCTTCCGGCATAAGGACTCTCGGGGGAAAAAGCCCACCCGGAAGGTAGAGGTGGTCAGGCTTCAGCTGGCCCACGGAAGTTTGCTTATGATGAACCACCCGACCAACACTCACTGGTACCACAGTCTCCCCGTACGGAAGAAGATTCTAGCCCCACGGGTCAATCTGACATTTCGCAAAATTCTGCCCACTAAAAAGTAAAAACTTTGTCGGTGGTTTGTACTTCTCTTTTCTCCTTCCCTCTCTACTCCAAGAGGGAGCTGGCTTCTCTTTTCCCAACAGGGAACATAGGAAAGGCTGCATCCAAGCATGGGGCTTATTACCTAACAATGCAGAATTCAGAAAGAGGATGGTTGTATCAAGTTGGTCAATTATGAAAGAATACCAGTTCTTTTTTTCCTAACAAAAAGATTCTTTTATTACTATAATACACAGCAGATACAAAAGGTACCTTTAGCAAATACATAAATCAGAAGTTATTATGGCATAAACTACTAGTTTAACTTAGGTTTTTGCCCAGAGAAGCCGCTCTGTAAATAACTTAAAGCTAGAAAGATGAGGTGGCTGCTACTTAATGCCTAATAATTTACAAAATGAGGAAGTCAGCTTTAAGTCCGGGTCAGAGACCGTGCATGGCCACCCCAGCCTCTGACCCGCCATCAGCTTACAGCTGAACGTTCCGGGCCCGGCATCTCTTTAACAGCAGATTTCAAAGGGGAAACAGCGGCAGAAGAGCAGTTACTGAAAGCTAGTTTTGCAGCACGGTGTAAGGGTCACATCATCGGGTGTTTGTCCCCCAGACTCAGGCAAAACAGCTGTACTCGAGGCAACATCAAAGCCAGGGCCTGCAACGGAACCGGGAAGGACGCTTCATGCTGCTCCTCTCTCCCGGACGTCCAGGGCCCGGAGAACCTTCCACAGTACGTTCAGTCGGTCGAGAGTTGTGAGTCCTCGGGGTGCGTGCTGGGCCCGGCGGGACGGCGATCACCCGGGCCCCTTGCGCTCTTTGCGGACACCCAGGCCTGGTCTAGCAGCGTCTGCCAGCCCACCCCCCGAGGGGAAGCCCCGTTCTCAGCCTCACCTCGGGTGACCTTTTAGAAAGTTCAAATTCCAAATCTTAACTCTGAAGAGTCCGTTTGAATTTTTTTTAATAAAAAACCTAGCTAGAACATAGATACCACTGTGTCCTCAAACTTCCTGTGGTGCTGGGCTGCGTCCATGAGCCTTCTCCCAAGAGGGAAGAGAATGCTCAGTATAGTCTTTGTACAATAAATGTAGAGTATGGACCTATAACAAAATGACAGTACTAGATGATCAGCTGTAAGGATACGTTTTTTACAAATTGAAAACTTTCTTCTTTTTTGTGGAAAGGGCTGGGGTTTGGATGCTCGCTGAGCCTAAGCCTACCCTTGCCAAACGAGGAAGTCCGACTGTGGCCCTGCGGTCAGTGCCCTTCCAGACCCCAGCTCCTGAATCTCACACAGCCCCCAGCTGCACCTGTAAACCTCGGGAGCACTGCAGGGGCGACAGAGTTCGAAATAACCGTCCATGGGGGGGTGGGGATGTCGTGTAAAAGCTGGCTTTGTCCAGAGCAGAGGAGGTGCAGTGGTCGATACGGATGCTGCCCTGTGCCCACTGTTCACGCAGTTGGATGACAGACCATCGTCACGTCTCCCGTCCAGTGTGCCGACAGTAAGAGCAAGTAGGAAGCAGCTCACAGCTGGCGGAGCAGCGGAAGAATCCCCCCCACCCCGGGGTGGGGGTGGGGGGGCAGATTTGGCAGGTGCACTTTGATGACAGAAAGAATCCAAAGATTAGAAAAGACCCACAAAAAGAGAAGGCGGGTGTTCTTCAGGCGTCTTTTAGGCGTCCTGTTGCTCTCCGCGGAGAAACTTGGAAGGAGCAGAGCTTTTCTCAAAAGTTGTTCAGAGGACACTTAGACAATGTGTATTTTCCAGAATGGACGTGCTACAAAAGCAATCGAAAGTGAAAGGCACTTTTTCTTCTAAATTGTTGCCTTTAATAATTTCACCAATTTTTGGGGCCTGCTTATTAAAAATAAAAGATCTATGCTGAAACCGATTGGAGGATTAGACAAAGTTACCTCCCCTCTGAGAACACCTAACATAGCCGAATATAAAAAAGGTGGCTTCCAGAACCGGGTTTCTTTTAATTACCTGTATCAGGTGAGTAAAAAGACGTTCTAGACAGAATGAATGGTCAGAGCACAGTGAGGACACCACCCAGCGCACGCTCCCAGAGCTGTTCAGGGGGCCAGATTTGGTTTGAACTGGGGGCCAGCGGCTCCTGCATGGAGCCCGCTCTGAGAACACACCAGAAGGCTGAGGACTCTAGCGGGGCCACCTGCGCACGCACACACAGCCAGATCTTGCCTGGTTCCCGGCCCACGTGGACAGTGCCATCGGCTCTGGGGCAGGGCCGTCATTCTTCGGACCTGTACTCCCGGCCCTGGGGCTGCATCTTGGAAAGAACACGCTCATAAAACAGCAGGTAGGCGCTGGAGGACAGGACCTCCTGCAGGCTGGCCTTGCGGACCGTGTCGTCGGAGATCCACAGCCACTGGTTGCTGGTTGAAAGAGGGTTCTTGGCCGATGGCGGGGACCGTCGGTAAGTCACGAAGTGTCCCGAGTGCATGTCTCCGTGGTGGACCACAACTGCCATCAGCCGGAAGAGGTACGTGGAGGAGCTGAATGGGAGGAACACATGCAAGCCATTTACAGATACAAAAAAGAAGGGTCATGGGCAAAACCAAAAAGTGAAAGAATCCTAGCTGTTCAGTGATGGGGGACTGATAGAGGGTACCTCCATACAAGTGAACACTACACGACCCTTAAAATGCAGACTGATGCATTCCCACATATATACACAGAACACATATATTTAAATTTTACGTACTTCTAGAATTCTTATTTTTAAAGTGCTTTCCAGTTGGGACAAAAATAAACAGGAATGTGTAATAGTGAAATTACACCTGAAGATGAAAGAAAAATGTCAGCATTGTCATCCATTTCTGTGCAAAGCTAATTCTGGAAACCAAGAGAACCAGGAGCTATGAGAAATGAAGACTGTGCTTCTCCGGGGCGGCTCACCTGTAGTCAGGAACCACCGGGAGCGGGAAGGGCATCGGGCCTGGCAGGGGGGGCAATAAAGATGGGGAGCAGGCTCCATTCATAAAAATGTGTGTTTTCGGGCCCCCGGGCTGATCCAGAACTGCAAGAGAAAAAGGCCCAAGGCAATTACCGCAACAGTGGCTGTAGGAGAACACACCGTGCCCTCCATTACCTTGAGTTTAACTCCCCAACAATGCTGCAAAGAGAAAAACAAATTCATTTTGTGTTGGATTGATTCCTATCTTTTTGTCCTTTTTTTCCAGATTTTATTTATTTATTTGAGAGAGAGAGAGGGAACAGGGGGAGAGGGAGAAGCAGGCTCCCCACTGAGCAGGGAGTCCAACATGAGGCTCGATCCCAGGACCCCGGGATTATGACCTGAGCTGAAGGCAGAAGCTTAACCCAGGCGCCCCTACCTTTTTGTCCTTGACTTCTTAATCCCGAGTAGGAAAAGTGGGTCTAACTCCTGGTCTGCTGCTCACTTTGACAGCTTTGTGAATCTTGAAGCCCCCGTCCCTGTTTGCTAAAGATGCGCCAGAGTTAAGCTGTAGCTAATTTACTGGCATTTCAACCTAAACCAATGTTTCTCAACTCTCACTACTGACACGTGGGCTGGGTTAACTCTTGGTTGTGGGGCTGTCCTGGGCATCGTAGGAGGTTTCACAGCATCCCTGGCCTCTACCCACCTGATGCCAGTAACACCCGTCTCCTTGGTTGTGACAGCCAAAAATGCCACCAGCCACTGCCCCATGTCTCCTGGGGGACAAAACTCCCTGATGAGAACCACGGACCTCAACATTCTCTATTCTTTAATTGCCAGCTTCTAAAGAATACCAACACGTAACCGTGTTGATAAATGTTGATGGGTGTAGATAAAATAACGAAGGAGATCTTGACCTCTCTTGCCCTTTCAAGTGCCCTGTGCGGGGCCCTGTGAGTACCCAGCAGGCCCCTGTGGGCCGTACAGGAGCCACAGCGAGCATGCTGCGACATGCGGCCGGGGGAGCAGGGATCCAGGGTGAGGCGGTCCAAAGACTGAGCCCTCTTCACACCATGGCTACTCTGACGTTCGTCTACTGATCTGCTGAAAAAAGGCAAAATACAGTCTCCCTGTGAATGGTGTCCTGCCAGGCCACGCAACCATAGAGGCGAGAAAGAATAAAAGCAGCAAGGGACGCTAAGTCAGGAGCATCCGGGGTGCGGGGAAGCCAGGCCTCCGGCTTGACTGGGAGCAGGTGCGGACAGGGAGTCTAGGCTCGGAGCCCTCAGAGTCGGTGGGTTTTCCTGGTCTATGTAATTCTAAAGAACTCAAGGCGTTAGAAAAGATAGCTTTTAAAAACTGCCCAACGCTGCCTTCTGGTGCCCGTCCTCCCAGTGGACTGATGTTTGCTCCGTGACCAGTCATTTCACCTCCTGGGGCCTCGATTTTCCCCTCAGCCAAGACTGGGGGCAGTAAGAGCTACCTGCTCCCGGGGGGCCCGACTCGGTAATTAGTCTCAAGTGAGGAGAGCAGTGGAGCTAGATCAGTAAGGAACTCAGTAACGAGGACATGATCTTTAGCCAGAACTTTTCCTCCCCACATCTTTATAAATGACATGACCCTACGGGGCGGGGTGGGGGAAGAAATTCATTGGAATGCTAGGGGCCAATTACCATTCTGTCAGCAATCTTAAGTTTTTCTTCCCATATTTTTTCAACTGTGATACCGTTTTTAAAACCATACACCTCGTTACTATGTAAGTTTAACCTCTTTTAAGGAATCTTCCCTCCCGTACCCCCAATCCTGCTATTCTCAAGAACTTAAGCAACCGCTGGACTAGCTCCCCTCGTGGCATAAGGGCCCCAGAAGGTGGTGACACCAAATTCCTTTTCCCTGTGCTGTAAGTTCCGTGTATTAGCCCCTTGGGCACACACCTGATCTGGGGGCGGCTGGCCCATCCTGCAGGTCCAGGGTGGGCCCCGCGGTCTCACTGGGCTTGGGGCTGTGCTGACCAGGTCTGTGCCCGAGGAGGTGATACTTATAGATGTCCATCATCAGGAACTCGTTGAACTGCACGTGCTCATGCCGCTTCAGGGGTGTGCCGTGGCTGGACCAGCTCAGCCGCTGCAGGTGGATGCACAGACACTGAGGGAGCTGCAGGGACGGGAGAGAAACCAGACGTGGCTGAGTGTCGGGGGCGGGACGCAGGGGTCCCCAGGGGCAAAGTCAACAAGGCGTGGGGGGGGGCTCACCTTGCCTAGTTTCAGCTGTTTAACAAAGGTGGTCCTCTGGTGTTCCACCTTCTCCCCATTCAACGTCCCTCTGGCTTCAATCTGAAGTAAGAGAAAGATCGCTCTGCAGAATTTCTTGAAGTGTAACATCTGGGGAGGGCCACAGCCAGGTTGGTGTTACACCTGTATTCAGTTGGCACCTGACTTTGACCTGCGAAAGGAGCTCAGCTGCCCAGTTAATTGAGTCGTTCTCACTGTTTTAATCGTTAAGTAACAGTGACAGTGGGGACAAGAGAAATGACAGTGCGATGCAGGAACTCTGCTGTGGCGCATCATCTATTTTGTTCTGTGTCCTCAGAAATTCTGCCCACGGTTCCTCTTCAGAGGATGACACACGAACGCTCAGGGGAGCCAGGCAGATGAGTGTCGGTCGGGGGGCGGAGGGGAGGGAGGTCCTGTCTCAAAGCACAGCACTCAGGGTTTTTCTTTAACTATTCTGCAGATGAAGTGAACTCATCTGGGGAAGAGCTACCAATTTCCTAGCCAGGTTACGTGGCTGTGGCCGAAAAGCCCCCCTGGGTATAGTCAGAGGAGCTCAGGCGAGCGGTGAGCGGTGGTGTGAGAGGTGCTGCATCGGGACACACAGGCCCGCTGGGGGGTGACACCGGGCATTAGAGGCTTACCTGCGTACAGTTGTCACATACGACGTCCCGCACAGATTCGGATGAGATAAAGTGGTGAAGGCAGTGGTCCAAGGTCAGTGGATGCCCCTTTAGCACCAGGAAACAAAATTCATGATTACAATTCAATTACAGGGAAACTATTAACAGAAGGCAATGTGATCCCAGAGCTTTATTTTTGCTTATATGGGCAATAAAGCTTCACAGATGCAACTGGACGTTCCCTGAGCAAACGTGGAGCTCAAAGCATCCTAGACTTGCTATTATGGGCGGATTCAAGGCTATGAGGACGTGTGTAACACTGCAGAAACTTATGGACTCCCACACTGTTTTAGAGATCTTTGAATTTGAGGTTAATACGTGTGTGTGTTGAAAAAAGCCAAAATTCCTGCAGCCAGAGAAAAACCATCCACTTTCTTCTCCCGCCAGATCAGGCCATGGTACCACACATTACAACCAAGACAGGTTCAGCCAACTATGTGTCTGAGTAAAATGCATAGTACCTTGGCTACACAACATGTCTCAAAGCCCGTTCGGATTTGAATGTCTCCAAAACGGACCCCAAAAAAACCATCGCTCGGTACATACCCACGTGGCAGCTGGAATACTCAGTGAAAGGCTGTCGAAGGTATCAAATCGAACAGGACTCTGAAACAAACATTGCAGAAAATCCAGAAAGGACGTAGGTTCAAGTCAGAGCTTTAGAGATGGGAAGACACATGCCTATGAAACAGTGTAATATTTAGATGCCCAACACTGACATATTGAAACACGGTGTACCTACCTAGAAGCAAATTCTATTACAAACAACCCTGTCAACGTCAGAGGTACAGTGATACTGAAGGACAGCTTATAAGGTAACTGTAAGAGAACATACCTGACCCAGCAATGTAGGAATTTTATCTTCAGGAAATAACCATGGACAAAACTATGAGGACGTTCATCCCGGCATTTTTTATAACAGCAAAATGTGAATAGTTGAAATTTCTAGGGAATGATTAAATAAATTACATCATGTCCACAGAACAGCATGCTCTGTTCAAAATAGCATAGTAGAGGAATGTGTGAGTGTATGGAAAGATGTGCCTGTTCTGTTATTAACTGCAAAAAAACCCAGATGATAAAATAGGGTAAGAGTTGCTGCTTTTGGTGATGGCAGAGTAGCTTGGCTAGACTAGCTCTCCTTGAGATAATGCATATAAATTCTGGACCAAAACAAAACACAACCGTTTGGATGACTGGAGAGCTACTGTCAACTCTTGGGAAACAGGAACTCCGCAGTGAGATTTGCATTATGTAACTTTTCGCTTGAGGGAACTCCCGGGTCTCTGCAGTTCAGTGTCAGGTGGCAAAAAGCTGCAGTCTCACAGGATGGAGGTATCAGAAGACAGAGTTCAGGGCTGGTGCAGAGGCTCGGGGAAATCCCAGAAAGAGGGGAGCCACCAAGAGCATGAGCCCCAAATCAATGTATAAACCCTGCCCAATTCCAAGGCACGCACATGCGTGTGTGCGCACCCACACAAACACACCCACACAGGGAAACTCCAGGAGCCTGGCAAAAAAGCAGAAGCTAGAAGCTGAGAAAACTGCAGATTTTGCTGCCTGACGTGGGGAAGACAGTTTGGCTTTGAGCTCAGCCAAGTTAACTGCACATCAGAACAGAATTCATTATTTTTCAGAGAAACATAACAGAATCCAAAGTCTCTACTACAATGTTAAATATGCAATAAAAAATTACTAGACATACAGCACAAAGAGGAAAATGTGACCCATGGTGAAGGATCCTATGGATGACCTGGATACTGAAATTAGCACAAGGACCTTAAAAAGAATTATGGCAAATAAGCTCAAGGACACAAAGGAAGACAGTTATTTAGTCCTGGTGGGGGACAAATGGAGAGTCTCAGCAGATAAATGGAAACTATAAAGAACCAAATGGATATTATACAACTAAGAACAATAACTAAAATGAAAAGTTCGCTGGGGGGCACCTGGGTGGCTCAGCTGGTTAAGCCTCTGCCTTCGGCTCAGGTCATGATCCCAGAGTCCTGGGATCAAGGCCCGCATCGGGCTCCCTGCTCAGCAGGGAGTCTGCTTCTCCTTCTCTCTCTGCCCCTCCCTCCTCCAGTACTGGCACTCTCTCTCTAATAAATCAATAAAATCTTAAAAAAAAAAAGGAAAGAAAGAAAAGTTCAGTGGATAAGCAAAGCGAAGATGGAGAAGAGTCCATGAACTTGAAGATAAGTCCATAGATATTACCCAATTTGAAGAACATGGAGGAAAGAGGTTGAAGAAAAATGAACCAAGCCTTAGTGAGCTGTGGAACAATATCAAGCAGACCAACACGTAGAGAATGGGGCATAAAATTTTTTGGAAAAATAATGGCCAAAAAAAATGTGCAAATTTGGTGAAAAACATAAATGTACAGATTTATGAAATTCAGCAAATTCCAAGCAAATACAAAGAAAAGGACACCCAGGCACAGGGTGCACAGACAGCTGAAACTCAAAAGTAGCGAGAAAATCTTTTAAGCTGGCAGAGGGAGAAAAGTGACACTCTACGTACAGGAGGGCGCCGTGAATGATGCTGGCTGTGCATCAGAAAAGGTGGAGGCCAGAAGCCAAGAGAACAACACCTTTACAGTGACGAACTGAAAGTAACCAAGGCAGGCGTGCGGGCGCCCCCTCCACGATGGGGGGGGGGTGCAGCTGGGAGAGAGAATGACCCTGAGAGGTAGGGCCCTGGTTCTGCTGCTCTGTGGCATCGGGCAAGTCGCATTTCCTTGGGGTGGGGGGGGGGCTCTGACTGGCGGGAACAGGGGTGGAAGCTCAAGAGCAGACAAGGCCCTCAAGGGTTCGGCTCTGCCCCTGAAGGGGAGATGTCACCCTCCCGCACAGGCTTCTAGGCCTATCTTCCTGCTTTGATGCCACATGTCATGTGTCAGCTATTCTTTGCCTGATGCTCAAGTGCAATCTGTAGACTGCTTCACACGTAACAGGTGGCCGTGGCGGGGATCAGAAGGAGGTGCACAACCAGGAGCGGGTGCGTGGGGGTGGGGAGAACGGCGGGGAGTGAGGAGAGAGTGCAACTGCTGCAAATTCACCGGTCACAGCCTGAGAGCCCGTGGTGCATCTGAGAGGCTCCTTCAGCCCCTGCCAGGCTGCTCAAGAAGCAATGTGGTTTTCAGAGCTAGTGGGCAAGGTGTGGAGAGTAGAGACTTCGGGAAGGTCTGATTTCCTGCACTACCCTCCACCTAGATCTTCCCCTCCATCTCCCTCCATCATGAAACAGCAAGTCAGCGGTGGGGGGCATCTGGACATAAGGTTTCCGTGTGCTGTAAGATGATGCAAGGCAATCGCTACCACAGACTCTGCCTGCCTCGTCTTCCCCTCCATAAACTGAGACGACCTTCCGTAGTCATCTGCTTCCTAACGAGACTCCATGATTGGAAACAGAGGCACCAAATGACTTCAGTCAAAAAAACAAACAAACCAAATCAAACTGAACCTGAACAATAGCAATACTGTCAACCCCCCAATCTGTACCAAACAAAACTATTCTTGGGGGGAAAAAATAGGCAAAAGAGAAGCATTTTCATATAAATGAAAACCAAATGAATTTGTTGCCAAGAGATACAAGAAATGTTACCAAAAAATTATGAGACAAATAGAAAACAGTGAACTAGCAGACCTAAATCCGACCACATAAAAATGTTAAATGTAAATGGACAAAACACACCAATTAAAAGGCAAATTGTCAAACTGAACCCAAATATATGCTATCTACAAAAGCCACACTCTAAATACAAAGACAAAGTTAGGTCAAAAATAAAAGAACAGAAAGAGATATCCTATAGAAACACTAGTTAGGGGCGCCTGGGTGGCTTAGTCGGTTAAGCATCTGACTCTTGATTTCGACTCAGGTCATGACCTCAGGGTTGAGATGGAGCCTAGCATCAGGCTCCACGCTCATCAGTGAGTCTGCTTGAGAGATTCTCCCTCTCCGTCTGCCCCTCCCTCTGCTCTCTCTCTTTCAAATAAATAAACAAATAAAATTTTTTTAAAAAAAGGGGAAGAAAGAAACACCACTCAGATGAAAACTAACCAGACAAAATAGACTCCAGGACAAGGAGTCTTACCAGAGATAAAAAGGGACATTTTACCAAGACAGTGAGAGTAAACTCATCATAATTAGCACATGTGTATGTACCTAACAGCAAAGTCTCATAAAAAATTCCGCAAAAATAAAACTAAAGAAAGAAAAAGAAATGGATAATTCTAGGAAATATTTAAGGAAGAAACAATACTGATCTAAACCCAAGTCCTTCAGGAAATGGGGGAAGGAACACTTCCCAGCTCATGCTATGAGGGTGGTATAATCCTCATAACAAAACCTGACAAGACATTACGAGAAAACTGTTAAGACCAATATTCCTCATAAACAGACACTAACCTCCTTTAGATAACATCAGCAAACCAAATCCAGTAATATATGTAAAAAAGTATATCACAATAAAGTGGAGTTTATTGCAGAAACACAAGCCTAGTTTAACATTAGAAAAATCAATCACTGCGGGGCGCCTGGGTGGCTCAGTTGGTTAAGCGACTGCCTTCGGCTCAGGTCATGATCCTGGAGTCCCTGGATCAAGTCCCGCATCGGGCTCCCTGC